GCCATATCCAGGAATATCATTCACGTGGTGAATATTTCAGGGACTCTACGGTTTAACTGAGGTCTTCTCACCGATATAACATCACGGGTAATATTCTTGGTTCTTTCGGTAAAGTCACGTAGAAGGGAAACAATAAAATAATAAAAATATAAAACAATAAAAAATACAATTATTTTATTGTTTCCCTTCTACGTGACTTTACCGAAAGAACCAAGAATATGAATCCCTGCAGTCACGAAAGCTTTAAATCACGGGTAATAATCAACATAAACAGGTCTCCATTCTGTATCGCCACATAGGAAAAAAACATTCCTTTGTCCAATGAACTATCAATATTCCATTCTTAAGGAATCGACCATATATAATTTACATGCAAAAGTTTGCTCATCACTGTCACTCACTAAAATAACTGACGAACCACACACACCACAATCGTAACGACATAATCTATATACATGAGAAACTACGGTTAACTTGAGTGGCAGTGGATTTCCCTGGGAAGTTAGCAAAACCAGCTCAATGCTCTGACAAGCACCTTGACTTGCTGACCCAAGCAGTCAGCTGAACACATTCGTCAATAACCTATCTGCTATAAAATCAATCATTTATCCCGGCAACTCTCTTTAATGAAGAGAGGCCATTGCAAGAAATGTCACCCACTACATACTCTTTTCTATTCTTGGTTCTTTCGGTAAAGTCACGTAGAAGGGACTTTACAGAAAGAACCAAGAACATGAATCCCTGCAGTCACGAAAGCTTTAAATAAAACAAAAATACTCTTTACTCTTTCGAGCAGTGTTTATGATGTTTAGTTTTTTTTTTGTTACCTGTTACTTGTGCCAACTCGGAGGAATCTCTCAGACGTCTGTTTTATAAAATGAAGCAACAATGTGCGAGACGTCTCCGGCAATCACACTCGAGGTGTATCCACCAACGCGTTCCGCACGACGGCGTGGGTTTCAGCGAAGTGGGGCTATCACGAGAGAGGCCTTGTGCAGCTTGTCAAGTTTAATTGTAGGGGAAATCCGGCGACGTCCGTAACCCGGGCATTGTCGTGAGTAGCGGCCGCTGATGTGATGTTCCCACGATTAGATTACCTCGTGGCAATCGAGACGTTATCTCTGCGTCCATTGGAGAGGGCGGCGGAAACACAATGCATTTTTCGGCTGCCAAGTTGGCAGCTGAAAAATCTTCTTTCAGTTTCTTTCGTGTGTGTGTGTAGTCAAGTAAAGTAAAAAAACGTATTTAGCAAACAGGGGAGCGGTAGGGTAGCGCTTAATGCGCTGCGCTACGAACCTGGCGAACCGAGTTAGATTACCGCTCACGGTCAATACCAGCGACGATTATCTGAACCGGTCATGGGACTCCTCTAGGTCGACTCAACCTCAAATGAGTACCTGGTGCGGTGTGTAAACATCGCCCCTGGGGAGACAAAGGCGGCCGGACGTGGTGCTGGCCACCGACCCACTCGTGTGCTGTGCCGGCCTTCATAGGTGCTCGCTAACAGCACTTGCTCCGACAGTCTGCTAAGGCTACACGGGGGATGTACACACCGTGCTAATTGGAGGTGCGGTGACTTTTTGAGTAAAGTAAAAAAGTTAAAGTGTCTCCTTGCTGAAATAACAAATAGGGGGTCGGTCATCTTCAGTGGCAGCCGTGAGCAAGCAGTGGAATTCCACATAACAATGTGGTACCGATTTTATAGGCAATGTAGGGATGATTGGCTGATTTATCCCCTAACTGGGATGTTAACTCACAACCTTCCACTAATGAACAAAGCATTCTGTCACAGCACTACTCATCTAGATATATTTAGTACATTAAAAAAACACAACGTGTTTTAACCTTTAAAGCTCACACAATAAAAAAAAACTACTATTTTGAATGTCCAATTCTTGGTACTATATACCCACAAAGACTCCTGTGGACGGTTGCATCGAAGCACGGAATCCATAATCGCTCTACCTTTGTAAACGTTTATTTAAAAAAAAAATGAGATTAAATTGAAATGACACCTTTTAGCGTGTATTTAAAATATAATTGTCATCATAACAAAGGGCAATTTGTTAATCTAACGACAGCATTTAGAACGTTCGAGAGAAGCCAAACGCGAATGCCCGTTTTAACACGACCAAGTGTGGTGGGGATTTCTCAGAATGTGGCCTCGTACTCCCAACTGTGACGGTTGAAGGCAATCACGGCGGAGGATAATGCGCACGGAGTGGAAAACCGAAATAACTAAAGCGATAATCAGCGGACGAAATAAGAGCAACTGTGATGACGGTGAGCACTGCGCGGTGGGGTGGATTGGAACGCTTAAGCCAAACAAATAAGAGTGAGCAGAGGATGAATGTAAAGGCGTGAAAATGGCACTCGCACACAGGTGCAAGGGAACAACAACACGAGGCAACATAACGCATTTAGAGGAAACGCATTCAAGAGAGAAATGGGAAAGGTTAACAAGAGAATTGATGGCTATTACTGCAAAAATGTAAGGCCTGTATTTCGGGCACGTGTACATGCACATGCAAAAACACACACACACACACAAACACATGTACACATACACTCGAAGGAAAAGGCCCCCTGTTTAGCCTTTTACGAACTGTTGGGAGAAGTGCTGTTAGCGAGCACCTATTGAGGCTGGTGTGGCCACAGTGGGGGAGCGATATGGTATGTTGAACTTCTTTTGCATCCCACGTAGCCAATCATGCTAACGGGAGGTGAAGCGCAACAACTAAACACCACGAAAATCAGTTCTAGAGAAATGAGATTGCAATATATATATTTTAAAGTGCTTAGCTCCAATGGCTTCCTAATATCGGAAAGAAGAGTGTCCCGGACGGCCGCAGACGCACATCTAAAAGCGCACGATGCAGCCACCGTCTTTGTTCGATGGCTGATCCCCAAACAAAAACATAAGTTAACAAAAAACATCCACATAGTAACATGCGTACATGTGTACACCTATAGGAGCACACAAACAAACATGTTTTAAGACATACACGCGTATCTAAACACGCACACGCTGGTGGACACACACGAACATCCACAACTTAGCCTCAATATTCTGCTGGGTCAGTGGTATTCGTGAGCATCTATTCACAGACCACATGGGAAGGGAAATCTGCCTATGTATCACACAATACTGAACTGCTGTCGACATGGAAACCCATAATAACAGTATAAACTGTATGAGATGAGTATTGATGAGCTAAAGTTATTCCTCTGTCTCACCGCTGCCTGACAGTCAGTCACATTTGCTCTCGCTGATTTGACTACGACCGAGGACAATAGGATAACAATGCAGTTCTTCGGGCACTGTTGATGGCATTGCATAAATCATGAAGCCGCGTGCTGTGTGTACACTTGGCTTCGTGTTGTTTGTTGACAGACCGCATCTACGCACTTTGTTTTTGATCAATTCGCTCCAAGTTTGGCCCAGATCACGTAAATCAAGTCCAAGCGTATTTTGTCTAACTGATTTGAAAACTGAAAAGAAAAAAAGCCAAGATGGAGTGTCATTTGCAAGTGACCTAGGCCACAGGGAAAAAAAAAATTAGGGCCATGAAGCAAATCGACATCAGAATAAATAAATAAATAAAAATACATGCGCCAATCGACACGTGATAAAATATATTTACCGAATTGTCACGGTCGTGCACGGCTAGGAATCAAAACCTGTGCTATTGGGACCGTAGCACAGTGCGCTAAGTAGGGGTGTCACTATTTAGTGATTCATCAGCATCTATAATAATTAAGTTCACGATACCTGCACAGAATCGCATGCTTAGGAATGTATATGTTTGGCTGCGTATGCCACACGTTGTATGTAATTGGTTTACGGGATCTCTCCAGCCACCAAAGGTCAATACAATCAACACATTTAAATTCAACAAATTGATGCTTGAACTGAAATCCTGCCGGTTCGTGGAATCGCAAGGCCGGCGAAACGTTGCACTCCCCCGTGCACACCGCTGTTCGTGAACACGCACGCGCATTTGCTCCCGTCCACGTGTCTCATGCAATTGCATTGGCCACCGTGACAAAGAGTCCGCTTATTCAAACAAGTGCGGGGGAGGGAGGAGGGACATTGTTCGTGTCCATCGGCGGTTGCATGTCCAAGAGTGGAATTTCCACGTTACTGCTGGGTGTCAGTCTGCCCGTAGCACAACCACTGATGGCTTCCCACAGGTCGGCGATCATGTTCGAGAGATGGTGGGAAGAGTTAACCCCCCGACTGGGTTTAAGAACTCGCAATGTTCAGCATTCGAGTGGAGCTCTCAATACACGGTTGGCTACGTACGGTGCGAAAGAAGTTCAACATAGATACATACAACACCCGCCTTATGCCGCTATGCGGTGGCGCCTGTGGCCAGGCCTGGTGAGGCCACGTGGAGTGTCAAAGGCTCGCTGACAGGAGGTCACGGGACAGACCCAGGTGCCATGGGTTGACTAACTGAGATGACTGGCAGATGCACCAGCTGTGCCCACGACCATATATACACATACACATACAACGAACTTGGTTATATGGGTGGCATGTTGGCCACGTGGTAACACTTGTACTCACAGCAAAAAAGGGTCTGGTTTCGTTTCTTGACTCGTTCGCCTTTCCGCGTGTAATTTGCACGGTCTCCCCCTGCTCTGTACGGGTTCCCTTCTGGGTTCTCCACGTTCGTCTCCCATCGCTGAACAACCGCCCATATAAAATGTGACTGGACACTGGCCAATCATCCCAATGCTGAAAAATTACCTTCAAATTACTTCATTGGTATTACACTGTAAGCGACATCGCTCCCACCGGCCCCGATTGCGAAAACATGGGCAGGACTGCTGCTGCCGCCAAAGTGTCTTGAGACTCGACGACGCTATCCCGGGTAAACAAGCGTAGTAGTAATAGTAATAAGAAAAATACTATTTTATTTCGCAGGCAGGCAGGCAGGCACTGCTGCCTATAATGAATGTGGTGCGGTGCCGTGCTTCGCAGGGTGCGTCACCCGTAATGAGCTCATCCTCCTCCTCCTCCTGCACGACCGCCTGCAGCGTGTCAATCTCCCACTTGTGCACCTCGCTCCCCCACAACGCCGGCACGAGGACGTCGTAGCGCGACCTGTTGGGAACAGTCACCACAGACACCAGCAGCAGCGTCGGACTCTCCCCGCGGTGTGAACGCGGTATTTGGGGGGTGGGGAGCGATGCGTGACTCCAAAGCAGAGTGCAGTCATCCGGCATCAGCACGTGTTCTCGGTGTGTATCAGCCGAGTGGGTGTTGTGGTGATCGAACCCTAAAAAAAGACGACAAATAAAACAAATATCACCTGTATGGCCTTAACAGGCTGCAGGGACAAGTGCTGTTCGCGAGCACCTATGAAGGCCGGCACCAAGGGCGGAGCCAGGGGGGTGACAGGGTAGACAATTGTCACCCCCGAAAAAATTTAAAATCGAAAATCTGAAACATTCTGCGTATAAGTGTACAACACTCGGTCTGGCGGACCCCGTGCAACTGCATTGTCAGAGTGTGTCGCCAACCGATGGCGTCTAGTTCAACAGCCTGACTCTCTAATCATTCTTGAAATTAACATTTGTTGAATGTCACCCCGGGCTGAAAATCCTGGCACCGCCCCTGGCCGGCACAGTGCACGAAGAGATGGGTGGCCAGTACCACGCCCGGCCGCCTTTGTCTCCCTAATAACGATGTTTACACACCTTCACCAGGTACTATTTTGAGGCTGAGTTGACCCAGCAGAGGTCCAGGACAAATCAGATAATCGTCACTGGTGCTGACCGTGACCGGGAGTCAAAACCGGGTTGCCGGATTCGTAGCGGAGTGCACTCACCACTACCACTACCGCTCCCCGCAACCTCGCACACACATTTGCTCTGTGAGAATTCAGCAGCATTTATCTTATCGACGTGAAACTGGCCACTCCGATTGGGATGAGGAATATCCACCCCTGGCTCATACATGGTCACTGGCTCATGAAGATGAGTGCTGCCCCAATGTACACTTTGGCTTGGCTTCGCTTTACCCGAGCGAAAACAAATTGCCTTTACTTAGCTAGTAATGGTCGATCACTTCCAGTAAATAAATTAATATGGCTTCGGCAACAATCTCTTGGGGCAATATGAGGACAGCAGCAGCCAATGATAATTAATTATAGGTCGAGCTGCAGAGCTCACAATTCTAAACAGTGGTACATTATTTGTAGATGTTAAATTAACCTAATCTATATGACAGTGATTTAAGGAAAGTAATAATACGAGACGGAGATATTGCAGTGCAAGTCGGTGGCCAGTCATGAAGGGGCAGGCATAAAGCCTTAAAGAAAAAAAACCATGGAGAGGCGATGCCTCGACTCGGCAACAATTTTGGGTACTGGTAGAAGGATGGAAGAAATAGCACTGTGTGTAAGCACCAGTGATATTGGCCGAAATAACTTTCTAAATGCAGGAATCTCAAGTAATCAAATGTGTTTGCGTTTAACCTACGAGCGAATGTGGCTCAATTACAAAGTTGACAGAAAGGCAAAGAACCCCTATTTAGCACTTGCTGGGGATATAATCAGCCCACCATCCCTCTGGGATGAATAAAATGGGAAACACTTTGTGCGAAGAAAACTAGAGGTGTCCTACGGAGAGACTGCCCACTTGTCTTATGAAAGTGACATTTTGCATCAACGGCTCAGGGCCTCTCATGGAGGGGAGTGCCACCAAATATTTGGTTGAACCAGAAGCAATTGGAAAATGTGCCCACCTATTTTCTATCTATTAAAAAGATGTATTTTACCAGGTAAAGCCTACTGAGCTATAGAGCTCTTTTCAGAAGCGACGTGGCTACAAATGATAGCTCGATGTGGCTTATCATGTGAAAATGTATAGCATCCAAATACTCTAGACGCATGCTTCAGGTGGAGCCACCAGTCCCTTTACCACAGTGGTTAGCAAGCTCCGCACAAATCCGGCGACCCAAGTTCCATTCCCAGCCACAGACAACATCAGTGGTGAATATCCAAACCGGTCCCTAGGCCTCGCCTAGGTTGACTCAGGCTATAGTGAGCACCTGGTGCTGTGTTGGCCACCAAACGGTCTGTTAACACTACTCACGAACAGCACCTTCCCTAACAGTTTGCCAAGGCTAAATATGGGGGATATTCGCCTTGGTCTTTGTGGAGAAAACGCTCTGGATATTGAAGGAGAGACCCTAAGGGATTGACATTTAACCCGTTGTCACTTCTGGGTCATTATTCAATTTGACGTGTGGGTCTGCTGCGATGGGCATCTCAGAAGGCGCAAATGATCGCCGCGTGTCTGAATGCTGACGGCACACACGTAACGCGCAACATGCAATGCGTCATACAATAGTCATGAAGTAGGGGGCAACAAACACCGTAGCACTGCTTGGCAATAATGCGTAACGATTGCTCACCAATTAGTTCTAATCAATCACTGGACAGATGTGAAGGAAAGCAACACGCGCATTGTTAAACCCAACCATTAGGTGCTGTCATATTATTGCGAGGCTCATTCAATGGCTCGTGAATGCCCCACTGTCTATCCCGTCCAACGGAACAATATGACCACGTGTTACCCGGCGTGTCCAGCAATACAATGGAGTGCAAAGGGGTCAAACAAGGATGAAGGCAGCACAATGGAAAGAATGAATGTCTTAGAGCGGGCGCACACAATGCTGCAGATATAATGGGTGCAATGGGTGATTGACAATAGTGAGTGCTGCGTCTGATAAAACAAAAAAAACATTGTGATTCAACCACGTGTTTGTTTGTTTGTTTTTATAATTGTTTTCATATCACATTCAAATATAGCGTATGGTTAAAAAATATATATTTAAATGCAGGTGGGAATACATTGTGCTGCAGGGGCATTAAAGCACAAAGACAATACGTAGAGGTCAGTGTTTGCTATGGAGGCCAGTTTCTGTGGGGTTGCCGGTTTGATCGCCATGGGTAGGGTTCGCTAAGGAGGGTGGTAGCTTTCTGGGCCTGGACCGGTTCTCACATCACTTGCCACTGATGTCAGCCGTGGAAGCGACTTGAACTTGGGTCGCCGGGTTCATAGCGCAGGGCGCTATCTGCTCCACCCCTTGTTGATATACTATTATAGAAAGCACTCAAATGATCAATATGCCAAAATGACTGTGGATTGTCCTACGGTTAAACTGGCGCCTACCAAAGCACTGTGTAATTTACACCAATTGCTCAAAGGCACCAATGTATAATGACAACTCCCAATACCTGTTTGAATTGAGAAACACATCCTTGTCAATTTGCTGCTGGATATGAAAGCCTCCGACTGCTAAGTCGGTCACGGCGGATCTATAACTTCTTCTTTACCATGCTTGTAACCCAAATATCCAAGGTTCGAATCCGAGCAGCTACCCTTAATGAAATCCCCGTTCTCATGCGTGGGTGAGTCGTGGGTCCCATCCTGGTTACCAGTGATTGTGGTATAACAGTTTTAATGGAAAATGTGAAAGAGCTACGTTGTGAATGCGATACAGTTAGACAATGAACGTGGGACTTCGAGTAAATAATCATTTCGCAAACAATAGGAAACGTTCCCTGGCATGCACAATAACCCAATTGTATTACATGTGCCAGCTTTGTTTGATTTTTTTGTACAAAGTGTACAATTCCAGTAAAGGCCCTTTGTGTAGTTTCGTGGAGTTGTTAGCGCACTGTGCTATGATCCCACCAGCTTGAGTTCAAGTCCAAACTACGGATCACATCAGTGGTGCTTATCTGAACCGGTCATAAGCCTCCTGAAGGGTGACTAGGCCTACAATGAATACCTGGTGCAGTGTGCAAACACCAGCACTGGGGAGACAAAGGTAGCCCGACATGATGTTGGTCACACATCCCACTCCGTGCCGCCCTTCATAGGTGCTCGCTAACAGCACTTGAAGCAACAGTCTGTGAAGGCTACACTGGGGATCTTTGTCTTTATTTTGTGTGCTTAGTGGAGCGGTTAGCACACTATGCTAAGATCGGACTGACATGTATTGAATTCCTGGCCATGATGCACATCAGGGGCAGGAGTGTGTCAACATCGGCGTGCTGTCACACCACCTTCTTGTGCCATGCAGACATTCATATGCGCACAACGATCAGAAGCAGAATACTTTATATATACCCTGGAGGAATCCGATGAGCTATTAAGCTCTTCTTCACAGATGTCGAGTAGGAGAACGGGGTCAGAACGTTGGAATGACAAACGATACAATACACAACAAGGGTGCAGAGTATAGGAAAGGATAAGAAAATTACGGGAAAAAAACCCGTTTTACTTTACCAGGTAAAGCCAACTGATCTATTAGCTTCTTTTTCAGAAGCGGGCCACAAGTGATAACTCAACGAAGTGCCTTAACATGTGGACATTTATAGCAGCCAAATAATCTAAGTAATTGCCTGCAAGGCTAAATAGACGTATACCCTTTACAGTATATGCTTTATTTTGTGCGCGCGCGTGTGCATTAATGCCATTGTCTTGATCCCACGCCACATTTTTATTGCGAAAACAATTGCTTATAATAGGACAATGGGTGTTTGTACACATCTCTTAAAACTAACGATAATTTACGTAACTTTATCAATCCACTGCTGGATGAAGGCTTCCCCACCCATGCCACTTTGGTCATGGGGGGGTTTGTGTAACCATACTTCACCACGTTGGTCAGTGCGAGTTGTGAAGGGGGTGGAATGCGTCTAGGACTGGTCCTGATATCCCTCATAACTGTATGTATTTTTTTATTTAAAGCTTTCGTGACTGCAGGGATTAATAATCTTGGTTCTTTCGGTAAAGTCACGTAGAAGGGAAACAATATTTATTGTTTTCCTTCTACGTGAATATAACTGTATGTATGTTGAACTTCTTTCGGACCGTACATAGCCCACCGTGCAAATCGGAGGTGCGAGCTGATGTTAGCCATGCCTGAGAGTACAACTCTATTTTATGGTACATAACACACTGTGCTAACAACTGGTCTACCCATGACACGTTCATTATCTGACCTATTATAAAAAAAAAACATTACTGGTGTGTGCATCAGGTTATGACTCATTATACATCCTTTCATAACATGTCCACATGGCA